AAGTGAAGTAAGATTCAACTGCTAGTCCAGTCAGCTTCTGTACATAGAATGAGGAGACTATTTTGCCCTTTGCCTTAGGCAGTAAAATGGCTTGGTTTGGCCCTGGGGAAGAATACAATAGGTACACTGAGATGTCCAATCTTTTTGTATCATTAGACAACACCTAGATGTTAGCAGATGTATCAGGGCTCATGACTACGACTTGCGAATGAGTAGGATAAAAGACTGTGTCACTAGTCCGGCACAGTAGTTTAGTAGTGACTACTACCCATCTTTTATAATCTGACTAATGCTTACAAAGGGACGACCTTCCCTTCCACAGGAACAAAGAAAAACAAAATGCAAAACAACTGAGCAATAGCAATAAAGATAAAAAAATCCTGGAGGGCCTGCAGTGCTGAGATTTCTGCCTTTGTAAAAGGCCCATCTGCCCTTGTTTTCGATGCAGGTTTGGAGTGCTGTCACACCTCGCCCTTACTGTAGTGCCCAAAGCGGCGGCGGCACCACACAGACAGAGGGGGCCTGGCAACTCGTAACATCTGGGATTGACTACTAGCAGGCACTGTATAGGGGGCTGCTCCTGAAGACCTGTCAGAGCCTTCAGTTGGTTCAAAGATAAAAATGCATCTGCTCGGCAGCGGAGTGGCATGGGTTATGTGAAACAATCTCATCCCAATTCTGAAATGGCGTCAATGAATTCCTGTGTGTTTTGAGTGCAATTCAGAGTGCTGGCGTTTACCTAGAGAGCCCTATATTTGGGAGAGAGATTTCTCAAGCCCTGTTTGTGCTTTGAATGTACAGTGGTACCTCGGGTTACATATGCTTCAGGTTACATACGCTTCAGGTTACAGACTCCCCTAACCCAGAAATATTACCTCAGGTTAAGAACTTTGCTTCAGGATCAGAAAAGAAATCACGCAGTGGCGGCACGGCAGCAGCAGGAGGTCCCATTAGCTAAAGTGGTGCTTCAGGTTAAGAACAGACCTCCGGAACGAATAAAGTACTTAACCCGAGGTACCACAGTATATGGTAGGATTCTTCACTGAGTGTTCCTGCTTGGGGAGTAACTGGAATGCTCCCTCCCTTCCTTCACAATGCCTGATGCCTACGGCCCTTAACTCTCAGGGACAGGTAAAAACTTTTTATCCAACCAGGCATTTTATAATCCTGTATACAGTTGTATCTTGGTTGTCGAACGCCCTGGAACTCAGACATTTTGGCTCCCAAACGCTGCAAACCCAGAAGTGATTGTTCCGGTTTGCAAATGTTCTTTTGGAACCCAAAAGTCCGGCGGAGCCAATCAGAAGCTGCGATTTGGTTTCCAAACGTTTTGGAAGTCGAACGGACTTCCAGAACAGATTCTGTTCGACTTCCAAGGTATGACTGTATTGCTGTTTTCAGTACTGGAACTTTACTGCAACTGTTTTACCTTCTCTGTGCAGTCTTTAGCTTTTGCAGTTATATATGTGTGCGTGGGGGGTATGGTTTCTACTGTCATTTTTTCAAAGCCACTTCAAACAATTCTGAAAAGGTGGCGTACAAATCTATTTAATAATAATACACAGCAACAGCACAGGTCTTTCCAGTAGCCCTTTGAATGTAAAGTTGAGTTAAAGTTTTACAAGAGGGTTTGCTTCATGTATAAGCACAGAATCAAGTATTGAAAGTTTAAGGGACAAGTCACCTCCTATTCTGTGATAAATGATCAACCAGCAGATGGCAATGTCCATTCTCCAGTAGCTTTGGAATGCCCAAGTTCCTATCGTCTCTGCACCTTGACAGCCAAAGAAAGGTTTACTCTAGGCATCATCCCTGCCATTTCATCACAGCTAGCTCCTCAGACCATTGTTGGGGCAAACATAACCCATCAAGGGTAATTGTAAAGGTATTCATCTGTGCTCTGAGAATGCAGGGTTGCTGACTGGGAAGGGGAAAGGTATTTTATGTATTACGTTTATATTTCAATGCAAAACCTTTAGAATGGCCTCAGTGTAAAGTGGCACATATCCAAAGTATTCTGCAAATGGTCCTTGCTCTGTATTGTCCTGCCCCAGGGATGATGAAAAGGTTCAGAAAATGTTTTAGCTATCTGGCCAAGAAGTTTGATCTTATGCTGGTGGAACTTTTTCCTGCTTCTTTGCAGAGAAATTATTTGTATTGGCAATTTATATACTGCTTAACTACAGTTGTCACTAAGTGGTGTACTCAGTAGAGCCAAAAAATAAATTAAAACCTTAAAATCACAATACAGTTAAAATGCCTACTGGAATAAAAAAGTAGGCACTTGAAGTTCAACAGCATGGGGCCCATAATACCTGAATGCACAGCTCCTAATGGGTACCAGTTGTGCATTTGAGCCATCAGAGACCACTAACAATGACTCCTCCAGAGACCTTAATGACCAGGCAGAATAACATATCAAAGGGGAGAGGTAAACTTTACAGTTTACCAGGATGGTTTGAACACATTACAATTGAAATTTATGAAGTCTCTATGGCCATTCCTTAAACGGTGGATGAGTTATAGTAAGGGTAGCACTGCAAACATGCCCCTGTAAAATTTAAGAGGTCTTTTACTGAATCTTGTGAATCATTGTTCTTGCTGTATCAGAGTTGTCACAGTCATGTAACTGTGGACTTAGGAAAAGGCTTAAAGGCAATCTATACAGTCTGACAGCTCATCTATACCACCAAGCATCCTCAAAATTTAACAATTCTAATTACTCACTTTGGTTTGTTCACTGCAATGTGTAACCTTCCAGATAAAACTGTATTGACCACCTGATAGAAACTATAGTGAAGAACTTCTATCCTGGGATACAAAGACAAAACAGCTTTCTCTAGGAGCCAAAGTGCAGTGGCATACATATGCTGTCTGCAAAAAATCTACCGTTGGCACCTTCACTTACAAGAACCTGAACTAGCACAGGTGAGAAAGTTACTGCCAGAAACCCTAGAAGCTGTTGCCAGTCAGTGTAGACTGGGCTTGATGGATCAATGGTCTGATTCAGTAAAAAGCAGCTTCCTATATTCATTCACAACACTCCTAGGAACATGATGATGGCTGAATTTAGCAAACTGTCACGTGTTCATGTGATGCCTTCTTTGGCCAAATGATACAAAAATGAGAGTGTTCACTCACTCAACTCGTTAAAAACTTCCACAGTGAAATAGTTGAAAGATGGCATTGTTGTGCACTGCAAGTTCTCCATGCACCCAGATAGAGGCAGGCATCACTGTTTGCTCAAGAATCCATAAGAAATGGACCACAACTTATTTGGAAGCTGTTTTTCAGCTGAAGTTCTCAGAAAGGCTTATAAAGTAAATTTTAAAATCAGCATTAATGAGAAGTTATTTTTTAAAAAATGCAGCAAGAAGTTAAAAAACAGAAAGTCTTGGTTAAAGGTTTTTCATGTGGCACCATGAAAAACAAAGATGGCGCTAGGCAAACCTCTCTGGGAAAGTAATTCCAAGGCAAGGTACCAGAACTGAAAAGGACTTGTCTTTGATCAACAGCCACTTTACTTAAGATAGTGGAGGGACTTTGAATAAGTACTCTGAGACCCACCTTAAAAGTCCAGGCAGATTTAAGGAGGAGCAGATAGTCCTTTAGGAATCTGGAAGGTTTCTGGAAACAGCTGCCAAGACTGTATGCCTCAATAAAGGTAAAGGTACCCCTGCCCGTACGGGCCAGTCTTGCCAGACTCTAGGGTTGTGCGCTCATCTCACTCAAGAGGCCGGGGGCCAGCGCTGTCCGGAGACACTTCCGGGTCACGTGGCCAGCGTGACAAGCTGCATCTGGCGAGCCAGAGCCGCACACGGAAACACCGTTTACCTTCCCGCTAGTAAGCGGTCCCTATTTATCTACTTGCACCCGGGGTGCTTTCAAACTGCTAGGTTGGCAGGCGCTGGGACCGAACAACGGGAGCGCACCCCGCCGCGGGGATTCGAACTGCCGACCTTTCGATCAGCAAGCCCTAGGCGCTGAGGCTTTTACCCACAGCGCCACCCGCGTCCCAATAAGCGGGTGCTTATTGTATGCCTCAATAAGCCCTCCCAAATTCACCTGTTAGCATCAGTGAAATATTTCATTACTCTGAGCAGTACCTGCCAACCTAGCAGTGTGAAAGCACACTAGTGCAAGTAGATAAATAGGCATCGCTGTGGCGGGAAGGTAAACGGCATTTCCGTGAACTCTGGTTTCCGTCACGGTGTTCTGTTGTGCCAGAAGCGGTTCAGTCATGCTGGTAACATGACCTGGAAAGCTGTCTGTGCACAAATGCCGGCTCCCTCAGTCTGAAAAACAAGATGAGTGTCAAAACCCCATAGTCACTTTTGACTGGACTTAATTGTCCAGGGGTCCTTTACTTTTTAAAATCAGTATCTACCTGTGTGTGCAATGGAAATCCACTTGGGCAACAGGATTTCTGTTTTCCCCCCTCTCCAGCCTCTCATATCCCACCCCCCAAAAAAAATCTGCTCTGCTGGGTCATCCAATCCTTCAGGGTATATTTTTGGGTGTGCAGATGGCTGCAGTGGGGAGCAGAGAATGGGGAAGACTCAGTGATTATGCCATGTTGGACCACACCCTATTTCTACCGAATAGAGAAATCAGCTAGTAGACCGTTATTTTACTAGGTGGGCAATTGCTTCTTCTTCCTTCACAACTACATCCAATTGTGTGAAATTAAGACAGACGCTTTGTTGTTTCGGGTAACTGAACGCTTCTCAACAATAGCGATAAAACAGATCCTTTGTTTTTGTCATCCAGGGTTTCACCTTGGTAGGCAAAATTAAAAACGTCTTCGTGTAAAGTCTATTATTAAACTAATCAGCATCCAACAATATAAAAAAGATAGAGCATATGGAAAAATAGCTGACATCAGAGCAGGATAGACAGGATTAGATCTTGCATGATTTCAAGTACAAATAGATCCCTCTGGGACTTAGTGGATTAATATTTTCTCTCTCTCAGACACTGCTCGGAATTAATGAGGGTACCTGCAACAATACTGGCAAGCTGCTGAGTCCTGGTGATGGGGTAGATGCTGCGTGCCTGAACAACTGCTGAAGCTATTTTCTTGGCGTGCCTCTCCTCCCCGTATGTTCTCAGGATGGACGCAAGTGCCTGTTGATCTAAAGCATTCACAACATCAGCAGCGGTGGGCATGTCAGGATACCTACGCACAAGAACAGCCAATTAGTTCACTGACGTCAGCTTTCATTGACAAGGGGTGAAGCTTCACAGCATTGAGACATAAAGTCAAACACACATTCACTGCATGCAAGTGCTTCTGAGATTTCTCAATAAGAGGCAGAGATCATTTTAAAGCAGAAATAGCTCCTATCTTGTAAATCACCTCTTATTAATTCACATGGAGGCTTTCTCCCTCCAACCCTACCTCCTAACATTAATTAGCTATAAAGAGTAGTTGAGATGCCTTTTATCATAAACTTTAACATTATAGCAGTAGCTCAAATAAAATTCGAAAGACAAAACACTGCTAAGGCTGCCTTGGCTTGTATAATGCCAGGAGATGAACTCATTTTATAAGCAGATATTTTTCCAAGACATCACATTGCTTGATCTATTTCCTGATAAAAAAAGAGAACCTTAATCTCTGTGACCTTTTCCCTCACATCTGGTGTTATGAAAAATGATCTTCTGTGAGGTATTTAACGATCACTTAAAGGTCTCTCAATTCAGAAATGGTCTCTCTTTTAGAAGAAAGGTAGTAGAAACGATCAGCCTGGATAACACTCTCAGAACATAAGGGAGAAACCAGCATTTCTTTCATTTGCCTTTTTGGAATGATGTGAGGGATTTTATGTATCAGCAGCAGCAGAGACTGATTCAGAGTCCTGTGTGCTCATCACAGGCAAGGGATTTTGTTATAAACATTAGACCACCCAAATCCACAAGAAACAGTACAATCAGGTTGTACAATAGTACAAACTTAGGCGAGATTTATTGACCTGAACCAATGTGACAATTTAGACACCAGATAAAAGTTGTGAGGCAAAGAAGTTTGTGTGCTTTAAGATTTCCCCCCAGGAAAATGCAGGGGGCGGGGAGGATCTTCAGAATTATAGATCTCCCAGAAACTGCAAAGTAGGAGACCATTGAATCAAAAATTATTATTTGTATTGCTTCTTTATTTGGATTATTTCATTTTACCCCATTATAAAGACAACCAACCACACACACACTGTTATGAAATTTCAACAGGACTAAAGCATATTTCTTTCTTTCTTTTGGCGGTCAGGGGTTGATTGTGCTTTGAGTGACAGGAAATCTGTCAAGCCCCTTAGCAATCTCATTTAATGGTTAATCATTCTTAAGAGAAATATACATGACTGATTTCAAGTGTAATTTATACGGATCTTGGCTTAGGTTATGCTTTTCCTGGCTATATTAATTTGCATTTGTAATACCACAAACACTCTGCTGATTTTTATATACAGAGCTTCTGGAAATATTTTTTGACTAAAATCTTTAAAAGTGGTCTCTAATGTATTCATTCATTCTATCTGCTCTATCAAACTGTGCATCAGACACCAAAGTTCTGCCAGTACTGAAGCCATCGGAATTGTACTAGCTCATTGCCATTGTAAACTATAGATGTTCCACTTGGCTCATCTAACAGTAGGCTCAATGCAATACTGATTCTCGAATACTTTTTAATGAAGTGTATTTATTGTTGAAGACACTTGGCAGGTTATACACAGCTGCTATACATTCAGTAAAATGTACAGCCACACAACGTAATACTCCAGTCTTCCACACTGACACTAGTAGGCAACAGTTATCTATGTGGGGCCATTTCAAAATGGGCAATGCCTTGAAGTCAGTTTTAATTCAGAAGCTTAAGGAGTTTTTGTTTTTATTGTTTACAATTCCAAGAAACCACCTGGAAGAAAAGCATAATTGATCTAATCAAAAGGAGAGGAAAGATGCTTATATAGGAATTGCCTCATTGGTCATACTCCAGCGAATCTTTTACATACATTTCAGTTCTGTGTTCCATATGGTTTGCTGTTGCTGTCATCAACCATAGTTTCTATTTTAAATGCCAGACTTAAAATCCACGCGTTTGCAAACATTTGTAACAAGCCAATAAGCAAAACAAACACTGGCACTAAGGCCTACACACTGAACATTAGGAAAAGTATTCTGCCATGGGGGGCGGGGAGATGATTACGGTGTATATGCAGAGGTAAATATGGGGATTTGATCACAGCTCTGCAACATGAAAAGGAAATTAAATTCAGCATGCTAGTGAAAAATTGATTTCTTGTTGAAGAAAGAAATGTTTTATCAATATGTACCTGCCACCATCCATTCTCATGTCCAAAGGACCATCTTTTCTTAGGGAAAAACCTCTTTCTGGAGTATCAAGTTGCATCGAAGAGCAACCAGCATCCAAAAGAACTCCATCCAGACTCCCTGGCTGCACTCCAGCCAAGGTTAACAAGGCTTCTGCTTGACTAAACTGTCCAAGAAGAGCTTGGATTTGTTGCCTGCAAGAAAAAGAAGAAGAGAAAATAATATATATATATAGTTAGCAGAAGGATAGCAATGTTTAACTTAATTTCCTCCTGGATCCCTATGCATATAATCAGCAACTCCTTCATTCGAAGTCAGCAGCACTGTGACTGGGATGTCTATTCTCATTGCAATCTGGTATGCTTACTTGGATAAGAACCTAACAGAAGTTCAAAAACTGTTTAAGTCTTTGTTCTACCAATGAAAAAATTAAAATGCAACACTAGTGCCCTATGATATAAAACATGGGTATGCAAACTAAGGCCTGGGGGCCGGATCCGGCCCAATCGCCTTCTAAATCCAGCCCGCGGACGGTCTGGGAATCAGCATGTTTTTACATGAGTAGAATGTGTGCTTTTATTTAAAATGCATCTCTGGGTTATTTGTGGGGCATAGGAATTCATTCATTTTTCTCTCTCTTCAAAATATAGTCCGTCCGCCCCCCCCCCAAGGTCTGAGGGACAGTGGACTGGCCCCCCTAATATTAGATAGTCCCATGGCCTGCAAGAAGATCAAACCTATCCATTCTTAAGGAAATCAGCCCTGAGTGTTCACTGGAAGGACAGATCATGAAGCTGAGGCTCCAATACTTTAGCCACCTCATGAGAAGAGAAGACTCCCTGGAAAAGACCCTGATGTTGCGAAAGATGGAGGGCACAAGGAGAAGGGGACGGCAAAGGACAAGATGGTTGGATAGTGTTCTTGAAGCTACCAGCATGTGTTTGACCAAACTGCGGGAGGCAGTGGAAGACAGAAGTGCCTGGCATGCTCTGGTCCATGGGGTCACGAAGAGTCAGACACGACTAAACAACAACAATATAAAATAAGACCACAGATGGCTGCTTTATGTGTCAAAATAGATGGGTGTGTAACTTTTTTTTAGTTCTAAAAAAGGAAATTAAACTCAGAGTTGCTGTTTGATATCTTAAATCCACCCTGTTGCTTTATTCAAAGCACAGCTCTTGCAACATCAAGAGAAACAGTGATTGTCCCAAGCGAGCACATTGCTTCCTCAACTGGTGCACACATTTTGTCAAGATCACCAAGGTGAATGAAATAACTCCCAGAGGTACACAATGAACCTAACCACCAAAGGTCTACTCATAAATTAACAGCCTTGCTACTGCTGCCAGATCAATACCTGAATGAGACTACGTGGAGGCATTTTTCAACCAATTAATTGAGAAGTTGGGTGTGTGGGAAGGAAATTGGATTGAATGATGTGGTGTTCAGGGGCCTGTCAGAATGTGTCAGGGGGTACAAGTGTCAATTAGGGATGGACAAGCTAGTGAAAGGTATGTCCAACAGAAATAGAGCACAACTTTTCATTCTCAAGGTGTCTTGTTATCATTTCCCATTTATTTAGTTTAAAAAGACTATGTTCCACCCCACACAGAGGAAAACTAGACTGATCTGTGTCTGGTTAAGAAAATCTGATGACATCTAAGCTCTGAAAAAAGTAAAATGGATGTGCAGCAATTCAAGGTCCTTAGCACATTATTATTTTTCCATAATTCACCCCTTTCCCCAGAAGACTCATAAAATCCTTGAGTAGTAGTATTTCTACTTTTCAATTGGGAAACTGTATGAGACAAAGGATGCAATTTTAAGTGAGCTGTCCAAGGATGAATAGTAATGATGATAAAATTGGATTGGCATTTAGGAAATTCACAACCCAAGGGTTTATAACTTCAAACATTGACTTTATCATAACCATCTTAGATATCCACACACACACACACAATTTTTTTGTCCCTCACCACTTTCCCCCTCCATTTTGCATAGCATCCACACTTGAATGGCCTTCTAACTACTATCTGAAATATTCAACTGATTCTTTTGCATTCCTTTCCTTTGTTCCTAATTCCTTTGCATTAGGGCTTCTTCATTTTAAAGAAATATTTTAAACAAATTGCTGTTAAAATGTCAGTTGCTCCCGCTTTAACTGCCTGTTGTGTAAAAGCCACAGAAATAAAGTGGGGACGGGGACAAGTCTTTGCACCTACAATCACTTTCACAGCTATTGTTCGGCAGTTCATAGCAAGGGTAGGTAATTCCCAAATCACAGCATTCTATTCATGTCACTTGCTGCTTAATCTTAGCAGTTAACTGCCGGCTGCCAACACTAGCAACCCAAAGTGTTTCGCTTAATGTAAGGAACATGCCAAAAGTCAATGCTTTCAAAAAGAAGCTTATTTCCAAACTTATTTCCAAACAGAAAGGTCTATTTACAGATTCAGCTTTTTTCCGTGAGATAGTTAACATGTATGCGTACAAGTGACAATTTGCATGGACACTCGCTTGGAAAGGGGCTCAGTCAGCTCAAAAGCTAGCAATTCAGGATGGGGTTGAACAGGGCTAAAACTTCTACAGCCATTGACTTTCTGACACAGCAGCTCCAATTATTATTTTTATTGAATAAAGACCAAGCCCTTGGGGGGGGCAGGGAATGTTTTTAAAAATTGGGAGGAGAAACTGGCACAGAAAGAAAGCTAAGAGTACATGGTTTGGGGGTTTTTTTGGGGGGGAGGGGAGAGTCCCATCGACTGCAAGAAGATCAAACCTATCCATTCTTAAGGAAATCAGCCCGGAGTGCTCACTGGAAGGACAGATCGTGAAGCTGAGACTCCAATACTTTGGCCACCTTATGAGAAGAGAAGACTCCCTGGAAAAGACCCTGATGTTGTGAAAGATCACAAGGAGAAGGGATGACAGAGGACGAGATGGTTGGACAGTGTTCTCGAAGCTACCAGCATGAGTTTGACCAAACTGCGGGAGGCAGTGGAAGACAGGAGTGCCTGGTGTGCTCTGGTCCATGGGGTCACAAAGAGTCGGACATGACTAAATGACTAAACAACAACAACAAACGGGGGAAAGCAACTGGGTTGATTTTCAGTGATACATGTGTGTGTGTGTGTGTGTGTGTGTGTGTGTGTGTGTGTAGGGGGTTTGTCTTCTAGTGATAGTGCACAAGCAACCAGCCACTTATTTCCCGATAAATGGTGAGAGTAGGGGATGATTTGCAGAGAAGTGAGGGGGAGTTAACCCTTTCCCTGTCCAATGTTTTCTCCTCAGCCAGAGTTTTTCACCCATGTCTGTGATGGGGCTAGAATCTAAACTGTGCAAAATTATTTGGGAAGGATATTTTGCAAAGCAACAAAAAAAGGGGGGTAGGGAGGGACAGGCCCACCACTTCCCAACTGCAAATGCCCCTTCTTCACCCCAAAGCAGCAGCCATTCCAGTTTAATGTTATAATGGGGCCCTCATAACTTGTAGTTCTAGCAGCAGAGAAACACTCAAGTGGAATGTTCCTCTAGGTGCATTCACTTCAATTGGTTTTCCATTGTTACTGATGTTCACAGAAGAAGGTATTAACAGGCACCAGAAAACATGGTCTTTAGATTCAGCATTGTTAAGGGAACATTGAAAGAAGGTTCAAGAGAATTCTCATCCAGGCTTGTCAGAACTCAGTTCAAGTAGCCAATAGAAAAGAGACTTAACCAAAACATTGCTTGATACTATGGATATGGGGATGACCAGAAAGAGAACTGTATTTAGGACACCCTGGGATACTATTCAAGGTACCAAGTAATCCAACTGTTTCAGTCACTACTGCTGAGCTTTTAAGCTGTCAGCTGGAACAGATCTGGTTGCAGACGTTAAGTTTTCCATTTATCTGGGAAACTTTCAGGGAAGCTGCATTGACTTCTTGAACAAAACTACAGCTTTCTTGGCCAATTTTTTAAAAATCTCAAGAGCTCTCTCTCTCTCTGTGTGTGTGTGTGTGTGTGTGTGTGTGTGTGAGAGAGAGAGAGAGAGAGAGAGAGAGAGAGAGAGAGAGATTTGGACAGAAAGACACACATCAGTACCTCCCCTGCCCCACTTTGCTACCCAGCATGGAAAGTGTTTGTTTTTATATAGGGGATTTTTGCACTGGTGTTATGCCATGAACACCAGCTGAGAGATTTCTGGTGACAACATATAGACCTGATGCCAGCAACCCAAAGCAACTAATGGTCATTCAGAGGTCTTGCTGATGAACACACTGTTCCAGTTACCTCAGCAGGATGTGTGTACAATAATTGCTGCCATGTTGGAATCATAGAATCATAGAATCATAGAGTTGGAAGAGACCACAAGGGCCATCGAGTCCAACCCCCTGCCAAGCAGGAAACACCATCAGAGCACTCCTGACATATGGTTGTCAAGCCTCTGCTTAAAGACCTCCAAAGAAGGAGACTCCACCACACTCCTTGGCAGCAAATTCCACTGTCGAACAGCTCTTACTGTCAGGAAGTTCTTCCTAATGTTTAGGTGGAATCTTCTTTCTTGTAGTTTGGATCCATTGCTCCGTGTCCGCTTCTCTGGAGCAGCAGAAAACAGCCTTTCTCCCTCCTCTATGTGACATCCTTTTATATATTTGTACATGGCTATCATATCACCCCTTAACCTCCTCTTCTCCAGGCTAAACATGCCCAGCTCCCTTAGCCGTTCCTCATAAGGCATCGTTTCCAGGCCTTTGACCATTTTGGTTGCCCTCCTCTGGACACGTTCCAGTTTGTCAGTGTCCTTCTTGAACTGTGGTGCCCAGAACTGGACACAGTACTCCAGGTGAGGTCTGACCAGAGCAGAATACAGTGGCACTATTACTTCCCTTGATCTAGATGCTATACTCCTATTGATGAGGCCCAGAATTGCATTGGCTTTTTTAGCTGCCGCGTCACATTGTTGGCTCATGTCAAGTTTGTGGTCAACCAAGACTCCTAGATCCTTTTCACATGTACTGCTCTCAAGCCAGGTGTCACCCATCTTGTATTTGTGCCTCTCATTTTTTTTGCCCAAGTGCAATACTTTACATTTCTCCCTGTTAAAATTCATCTTGTTTGTTTTGGCCCAGTTCTCTAATCTGTCAAGGTCGTTTTGAAGTGTGATCCTGTCCTCTGGGGTGTTAGCCACCCCTCCCAGTTTGGTGTC